CTAATGTGATAGGATAAGGAACAAATAGAAAACATTTATAAATTTAATATGTTTTGCTTTTCTGAAAATGAAATATGGAGGAGAAAAGAAAATTTTGGAATTTTTATTTTTATGCTGTTTTTCATTGATTAAGCAGACCTCACATGTATCTTTCCTGTCAAGTAGCACTTGTGTGTACAATTCATGTACATTTATGCTTGTGTATCACAATTATAGTTAAGCACATGCCTAACTGAAAGTTCATGGATAAAATGCATCGGCTGAATATAGATACTTTGTTTCAATAATTTCATTTCATTTTTTGCCTTGAAAAAGTCCACATTGGACAAAATGCATCAGCTAAGACTACAGTTTTCCTATTGTCTTTTTCCTTAATACATTGTTATATAGGAATAAAGTGTTGCTGCCAACACTGGAGTTTGAACATGGATCACCAGTGAGTAAACACAGGCAATCCTGTTATTGAATTTAGTGAATCACGTGACCATAGAGGAAACACATATATAGGAAGTTGTGTGACATCTAAAGGATCACTATTTCTAGTTTATCCACTACACTATATGGATCACCAGTTCTATTCTATCCTCTATTACTATTTGGACCACTGTTTTCTATACTATTCACCTATACTGATCACTATTGAGTGGTTACTATTTGAGCCAGTATTATTGAAGAAGTACTATTATTGAAGAAGTACTATTACTGTGAGTGCTATTCAAAGGCATCTGACACCAGTATTGTTCAATGGCATACTATAGTTGAATTTGCTGTTATAAAATTATACGAGCATTACTAAAGTGATGAGTATTCATTACAAAAGTGTCAACTGAGTGTTTGTTGACATCACAAAATATATATATATATAAGCTTCAGATTAAAGGTCCACAAATAATAAAAATACTTTGCTACATAAATAATTTCTTGTTTTTAATGGAAATACATTTTATGAACAAAATACTGATGTCATTGATACATTTATAAAATTTTGAAGTTATGTTTTGCTTTTATTTCCTCATTTCACACAATCTTTGATCTGTTATCTCCATCTTTCTTGTTTGTAGCATAAATATTTTAGATGATATATACTATGGCTTTCCTCAAGTATATATTGTATTTGGAGGTAAGCACCTGTTGAGAAAAACTCCTGGATTCTTTGTTTTTAATGAAACATTTCTTAAATGAAGTTGGATCCATTATCCCAGACCTTATTAATAATTCTTCTATGCAATACAACTTTTATAGCTTAACTGAAATGAAGTCTACATAAGGAATAAAATGATTTCTATCTCAGAACATCTGTTTATGATGAGTTTGTGCTGATTTACCTAAATGACACAATGAGATCTACTCTGATAGAATTTAACTAAAAATAGCAGCCATCTTTGCTCACCATTGGTTAGTCTCAGTTTCTTTCCATTCTTGGTTCTCTCCTTTTCAAGCAATTCAAGTGAAGTGTACCACTATAAACTTGAAAGAGTTGGGGACATTTATTTTAAGTTGGAAAATAAGAAGATTAGCATCAATTTGAGGAACATTGGTCCAGTGCTGAAAATGGATGGTTCTCAGCCATCAACTCTACTGCTTCTCTAACTTGTTAGGCAAGAAATATGCCAAGAGTAGTCATAGATTTTTTTTTGCTGTCAGTTTTATGTCTGCATAAAACAGAGAAACAAAATATAGTCTCAGTCTGTTATACATTTGAATTGATGTTAATCTGGCTTTAGCTGTAAAACCTTTCTTTACAAATTCCCTGAATAGATTTTCACTCCATTACGCTATTCAACTGTTTTGTAAGATGAAAGAAGGAATAAGAATTTTGAAGTAAAACACAAAAAGGAAGTAAAAAAAGGACAAACTGTCTAGGAAGCAAGGTAATAGGCAGTTAATGATGAAAACTAAGACAAAATGGAAGGGAGGAAAGAAGGAACATGAAGACAAAAATAAAAATGTGAGTGAGAGAGAGAGAGTGATGAAGGAATATGTAGAAGAAAAGAAGGAAGACAGAAACAGAAGCAAATGACAAACAAATTAGAAAATAGCAAAAAAAATGTAATAGAGGTCGATTGATTGAAATAATCAGGAATAAAGAAAAAAGAAAGAAATGAGTGAAAGGGAGAAAGAGATAAAAAAACCCTAGGAGTAAAAGAAAAGTAATAGAGGTTGATTGATTAAAATAAACAGGAATAAAAAAAAAAAAGGGAAAAAGAAATGAGTGAAAGTGAGAAAAGAAGTTAATTGATTAAAATAAACAGGAATAAAAAAAAAGGAAGAAAGAAAGAATTGAGTGAAATGGAGAAAGAACCCTATGAGTAAAAGAAATAGAGGTTGATTGATTAAAATAAACAGGAATAAAGAAAAAAAAAAAAAAAAGAAAAAAAAAAAGAAATTAGTGAAAGAGAGTAAAGAAAAGTAAGAGGTTGATTAAAATAAACAGGAATAAAAAAAAAAAAAAAAAAAGGAAAAAAAAAAGAAAAAGAGAAAAAAACCCTAGAGTAAAAGAAAGTAAGAGGTTGATTAAAAAATAAACAGGAATAAAAAAAAAAAAAAAAAAAAAAAGAAAAAAGAAAAGGGCAAAAGAGAGAAAGAAACCCTAGGAGTAAAAGAAAGTAGGGGTTGATTGATTAAAATAAACAGAAATAAGTAAAAAAAAAAAAAAAAAAAAAAGGAGAAAATAAAAAAAAAGCATGAAAAGAAAAAATAAAAAAGGTAAAAAAAAAAAAAAGGAGAAAATAAAAAAAAGGATTAAAATAAAAAAAAGAAAAAAAAAAAAAAGGAGAAAATAAAAAAGGAGAAAATAAAAAAAGGAGAAAAAAAAAAAAGGAAAAATAAAAAAAGGAGAAAATAAAAAAAAAGGAGAAAATAAAAAAAAAAAAGAGAAAATAAAAAAAGAAAATAAAAAAGGAGAAAAAAAAAAAGGAGAAAATAAAAAAAAGGGAGAAAATAAAAAAGGAGAAAAATAAAAAAAAAGGAGAAAATAAAAAAAGGAGAAAATAAAAAAAAAAATAAAAAAAAGAAAAAAAAAAAGGAGAAAATAAAAAAAAGGAGAAAATAAAAAAAAGGAGAAAATAAAAAAAAGGAGAAAATAAAAAAAAGGAGAAAATAAAAAAAAGGAGAAAATAAAAAAAAGGAGAAAATAAAAAAAAGGAGAAAATAAAAAAAAGGAGAAGAATAAAAAAAGGAGAAGAATAAAAAAAGAAAATAAAAAAGGAGAAAAAAAAAAGGAGAAAATAAAAAAAAAAAAAAAAAAAAAAGGAGAAAAAAAAAAAGGAGAAAAAAAAAAAGGAGAAAATAAAAAAAGGGAAAAAAAAAAAAGGAGAAAAAAAAAAAAAGAAAATAAAAAAAAAAAAGGAGAAAATAAAAAAAGGAAAAAAAAAAAAGGAGAAAAAAAAAAAGGAAAAATAAAAAAAAAAGAAAAAAAAGGAGAAGAATAAAAGGAGAAGAAAAAAAGGAGAAGAAAAAAAAAGGAGAAGAATAAAAAAAGGAGAAAAAAAAAAGGAGAAAAAAAAAAAGGAGGAAAAAAAAAAGGAGAAAAAAAAAAAGGAGAAAAAAAAAAGGAAAAAAAAAAGGAGGAAATAAAAAAGGAGGAAAAAAAAAAAAGGAGGAAAAAAAATGAGTGAAAAAGAGAAAAAAGCCCTAGGAATAAAAGAAAATAGAGTTTGATTAAGAAAAACAAGAAGAAGAAAAAAAAAAAAAAGAAATGAATGAAAGGGAGAAAGAATCCCTAGGAGTAAAAGAAAGTAATAGAGGTTAGTTGATTAAAATAAACAGGAAAAAGAAAAAAGAAAGAAATAATTCACTTATTTCTTTCTTTTTTCTGAAACCATCAGAATAAAAGAAAGAAAATATAAATTCAAGAAATACGACAGAAAAGCAAACTGAAAAAAGACAAAGAATCAAATCAGTTTGGAAAGCAAAAAAGAAAATATGAAAAAAAAAAAAGAACAAAGAAAAGAAACATAAAATCATTAAAAAGAAATAAAAGAAATAAATAAACTTATAAATAAACCAAAAAGGAAACAAAAGAAATAGCGAAATCATTGAAAAGAGAACGTAAATGGAAAACAGAAAGAAACTGATAAAATCCTTAAAAACGTAAAATAAATGTGAAAACAAAAGGAAAAGGACAATAAAAACAAAGAAAGAAAAAGAGAAGTCATTAAGAATTTGTACTAAATTGTATTAGTCACATCAATCAATCAAGTCGGATATTTGTCTCCATTTTCTGTTATTTTCATTTGGTTTCTTTTTCTATCTTTTCCTTTGTTGTTTTTGTTCATTTGAACTCTTAATTAGTAAACCAGGGCTATTAATGATGGTGGCAGGCAAACATTTCAGGAATATTACAATTTTGTTTAGAGTGTCTAACTGCAACTTTTGTCATGTAATTCTTTCTTCTATTTGTCAACAGATGAGGCTGCTGATTCACTTAGAAAAGTTATGCCTTAAAGTGATTTACTAGAACTCTTTAAGTCTAGTTACTTAATGACTTGCACTAAACAACAACAATCCTTGCTTCTTCAAGGGGAGAAAAAGAAATTATTTCTTAAATGAACAATTATCATTGTTATACATTGATCAGTTTCGTTGAGTAATCCTCATCTTGGTTGATATAGCCAAATAGTTACAAGGCCCTGTATATAACAAAGCTAAATTGAACAAATAATTTAAGGGTCACTTGCCTTAGGTTAATTAGGGAGTCTTACAAACAATTACTGTAATGATTTTGAGTGGCATAGTCTACCTCATAATTTGGGCCTTGTGCCAGTCTATAGAAATATAGATAAAATCCGTTTCATTTTTTTATGCTTATAAAATCTACAAAACAGATAAATTCCATTAGAAACACAGAGATGTGTGCTGAACTGCTATATAATATCATTTATTTTACACAAAAATTATTTTTCAACATAATCTCCTCCCTTTCTTGTCAATGCACTTAATATTAATCATATAGCACTGATATACAGTTAACATTTAAGATCAGAGCTTACAGCCTTATAGAATTAAAACACCAGCTCCCATATGATCACCAAAGTTAAGCAACTTTAAGCCTAGTCAGTACCTAGATGGGTGATTACTTGAGCATACCAGGTGGTGTAATGGATAATGGATGAACTTGTGTCATCATTTATACTCTGGAGGCACCCATCATCTGTCAATTGATCATGCAAGTTAACCTTTCCAGATAGGATAAAACGTGACACATTGATCCCTAAGGAAGATCTTTTAGGTGCTATGACAGATAGGGAATACTGGAGGGGTGTAGTGAGTTCAATCTTGGCTGAGGCCACAAGATGATGATGAATGGATAATGGCTTGGAATTTTTAAATGGGGAGCTGTGTTCTAATTTCAGTTGGGTTTGTTATATCTACTTATGTGCAAACACCCTTGCAAAAGATGTAAATCTAAATTTTTTTTCCTTCCAGCTATGGGTTAATAAACATTAAGTACAACACAAAAGAATTAATTAAATAAGTGGGAGGGTAACAGATGTAAAAACAATAATTTTTACCAAGATTTTCTAAAAAACAAATATTTCTAAAATAGTTTAATTCATTTGTGAGTCCTGAAAGTTTCATTAAAATTCAATGATTATCTAATTTTTGCAAGAATTTCCAAATCAATGAAAAAGAAGGTACTAAAATTTGCTTACTATGGCCACCCATTGACACAAGAAAAACAATATTTTTAACCAATATTTTGAAGGTTCTAAAAAGTATTGAAAATATAATTTAATAATCCCCAAATCCTTTCATGTTTCCTCTTAACAACAACATAAATTCTTTTAGGAGTCTTGTTTTAAATGTTGGCAATAAGACTGTTTTTAAGTTTGGGACATTTTTTTCACCATGTATGCTCATTCTTTTAGTGAATCTTTGGAGGTTATATATATATATATATATATATATATATATATATATATATATATATATATATATATATATATACACACACACACACAAACAGATACACATGCATGAATAAAAATGTGTATCATCATCCATACACATCTTAAACACAATGTTCATTTAACAACTGATAAAAATTGGTATAAATTCATGACAGTGACAAAGGCAAAGAGAGATGGTAAAGTGTTAGAAGTCACTTAGAGTAACAAAAGAAAGCATGTTGTGGCGAGCCATTATCACCAATGCTCTGAAGAGACATGACACATAAATGAAGAATTGTGAGACTCAGAAAGAGATAGCTAAAATTTCTAGGAAACCTAATGCGGTGTAGGGATACAAAAGGTATTTATCTCTCTTTAGTCAAGATGAAGTTACATGGGTCATATAGTGACATGTCAGAGTCATGAAAGTGGCTAGTCTGTCAGTCAGCTTCCTGGAGTCAAACTGAACAGTAGCTTTTTAGCACAGACAAGATCATGCCTCACCCACATGGAAGCTAAATCTGACTACTCCAGCTAGTCCATGATGCCATTTTTTATTGGAATATATCTTCACCAGATATACAAACTATTTTCAGAACACAGTCCTCAATTTGGAAAAGACCCATGACTCAATGTTTTCCCATTTTGTGAAATATGTTCTTGCAAGTGGCATGGATAAATCCAACCTGCTTGAATCTGGAATCCTAATAATATGCCTTTGCTAGAAACAGAAGAATCTCTGGCAGCTACAATTCCCTCTCTTTTCATCGCCTTTAACTGCTTGTTGCATACATGTTATATTTTCTCTGGGTGGGACTAATGTAAATATGTGTCTATAATTTGGGGTTTAATTTAATGGTATAAAACTGAACAAAGCATGTTTGTCATTCCTTTCCTTTCAGCTATTCCATTCCATTTGTGAAATAAGGTTTTATATTATAGATATAATGCTCATAATGGGGGAAATACAAATAGAAGAATATCCTTTCTTCTATAGCTCACCACCATCAAAGGAAAGTGGGCTTTAAGAATTTGACACTCGCAGGTCATACTAAAGGTTAAAACAAAAAGAAAAACAATAATGGACTGAGCGGTAAGTGGACAGAGCTATGAAGTATAGAAAGTCATGGAGATAACCAACCATTTCTGAAGAGGTATGCTACACAGAAGTAAAGAAAAAAAAGTCTATGATTTTAAGAAGAGCCATTAACATATCCAATATTATTCTGGCATTCAAATCTTATTTGTTTATTTTTTCAGTATCTGTCTATATTTCTGAGATGAGGTATTATGTACACTATTTACATTAATCGGACTATTGTCCTCATTTTTGTCGCCATATTTATTACGTTTTGGCTGTTGTACGCTCCAGCCTTCTTCAGGTGGCTAGAATGTCGAACTGAACCCTTTATTTTGCTCACTGGGGTAGACTGTTCTATGTGCCATGTTTAATGGATGTCAGTTATCTCCTGTTAATTCACATCTACAAGTTCTCCACTGCCTTAAACAGGTATTGAACTCACTCTTTGGGTCCAATCACTGGATCTAAGTAACGCCTTTATCCACTGTACTCTGTGTCCATTCCAACCACCTGAAGAAGGCTGGAGCATACAACGGCCAAAACATAATAAATATGGCAACAAAGATGAGGACAATAGTCCAAATAATGTAAATAGTGTTTATTTTTTGTTCTTATTTTTAAGTTCAGCAGTTTTCATTTTCTCAGGCATTTGAAGAAGGCTGCTGTTGTGTGGTCAGTGTAATGGATAGCAGCTTAGAATGAGAAATTGGAGAATCAAATTCAAATTCCAGTCAGTTTTGTTACATTCACCTATGTGAAAATACACTTGGGCATGGTATGAATCGATTTCCCCTCCAGCTATAGGTTAAATAATAGGTCTTGTATCTTGAAAAATCATTGTTATTCTCAATAAAACTTCTTAAAGCAATATTCACTCACAAAAAAAGGATTATTCTTACAATCTAAAAAGACGTCTTGGTTTTAAATAACCCACAAATGGTTGATAAACCACAAAAACAAAAAAAAAATTGATTAAAGGAATAATTGGTCAGCAGAAATAATTTTTGCTTCAATACAATTTAAGATTTATTAAATATTGTTGGTCTACTAATCTCTTCTTTGTTTAATCAATCATTATTTAGATAACAACTACTACCAGTTTGGTTGGATGTAAGAATCTTTTATCTCTGCTACACAGATTCTCAGATTTTATCAGAAAAAAAAGAAGTTTCTAAGTTTTCAGGAAATTATATATTTTTTTAAAAATTTGACCATCTTTTATTTTATTTTCATCATAATGATAATGTTCAGGTGTAATAATCAGATTAGTTGAAGCAAGATTTTCAGATTGGTATGTGTTGTGATTTTGAAAATGACCGAGTCTTCTGAATATATCCTTATATTTACCTTTTTTTTTTTTGTTTTATGAAAAGGTTAGGAATTCTTAAACATTACTCAGTCACAGAATAAAATTAGGCAAATTCATATCATTTTTTTTTTAAAAGTAATGTTCACCCAATACAAGGCTTTAGAGCCACACAAGTCAGAGGGTTACTGAATGAAGTGTGTGATATGAATGCCAAAACAGGAAGTAGGAACAGAAAATTATGAGAATATGTAGGATAAATAATATTTGACTCTTGACTCGAATAGGTTAAGATTGCACTGTTCAGGGAAGCGTCCGCATGAGACTGTTCCACAAAGTAACAGTTCTTGGAGAAAAGCTGTCTAAGGGGAACTTTTGCCTTACAACTGTAATAGTGATGTTTTTTTGTTTGTTTAGCGACATATCAACCTCTATGGGTATTGTAATGACAAATTCGAAATATTTTGTAACACTGATATCTCCATAATAAAATAAGACAAAATTACATTGCTATTAAATCAATGCAGATTGAAAGAGAACGGAGAAACAAAATTTACTAAGAGCTATAAAGGACAGATAACTGTGGAGATCCATGATCACCCACATTCCAAAGGAACAAGGCACATGGAATAAGAACTTGCAAGTGAAAATTTCTAAAAGGCACTGAAAATATAAAATGCAAAAGCTGGTAAACAGAACACAGTCTCGACCATTATAGAAAGTGTGACATGTGTGACAGCACCAACACCTGAAAAGAAACTGCAACTCTAAATTGTATGTCTTTCACACCTGTCTTTTGTCATTGTTATTATTACTGACAAGGCTAAAAATGTTTCAGAGAATTTTAATGACTACAGGTGTAAAATAGGCAAATACAGGAAAAGTCTCAGTATCTGAGAAAATAAAATGAGGAAGAGATGATAGCTGCTGCCATGATGAGGCTTAGTGTATTCTCAGATTATTATTATAAATAACGAAATAGGTTTTCTTTCATCTTTATTGTTACTTTTTGCCACAATGCTTATTATATTCTACAATCATTAAAATAAGTAGTATAAAATTGTTAATAAAGAAGTAAAAATGTAACTCATATGCTATACACTGATAGCTTGACTGACATGGATGTCACCTTTACTATTTTCGTCATGGAGGCTTGTAGGATTACCACATTTGTTTACCAAAGAACTTCTGCTAATCACCTTCTAAATGCTATTTCCAAAAGGACTATATGAATAAAAAGGCAGCAAAAGTTTTTTTTCTCTTTTAGCTACAGCTTGTTTTAGAGATAGGAGATATCTTGTTCTTCTCTGTGATGGGGGGGGGTAGTCTACAGAGAATGTTGCATAGAATATAACACAACATAATACACAGCATATTCTAAGATTACATAACTATACAGAGGCTCATTCACTAATTCTCCCAAACTACCAAATAACTTGGCTCTACTTAAAATAATTGGTCTGCTCAAAGAAATTTTTTCAACAATTTTTTGTACATTTGCTTTCATTAGAGCTTCCTCTACCTATGGCATTTGTCAGAATGAAAAAAATATGTTTTTACCATTTTAAAAGTGGAGGTCCTGTTCATAATATAAATACAGTGACAAATCAATTCCTAGCTTCATAAAGAGTTATCTGTACTTTGTTTTTATTTACAATTATCAAGTTTGAAACTGCTTATGCCATTGATAACTGCATACTATTATGAAGAGGGAAAAAGATATGTGGTTCTAAATGACATGAGCACAGTTTCAAACTTGACATTTGTAAATAAAAACAAAATATAAATAACTCTCTATAAAGTCAAAAGATCAATTTGACA